TCCCTTCCTTGTGTTCCTGTGTGAATTGGAGACGTTTTATCTTGGTAACTGCAGACAGCAAAGGTGTTCGAACAGGCCTTCAGCTTCCATATCCCATATGATGCAGTGTACGGCTACTCACGGTCAAATATATCCCACGTTCAAAGGCTGTTAAATCGTATTGTTTACCCATATCTTCAGAAAAAAATCACTTCTACTGTCATGGTAAACAACCTGCTTCCCTATTTATAATGGTCTGGCCCTCTAGCAACTTCAGCACGAAATTATAGCTAATTTGCCTACAAACGTCAGTTAGTTATAATAATCTGGCCACTCAGTGTATTCTTGTCCTTATGACTCCATTGGGATGTCTGAAAGCTAAAATATCACAGGCATTAACAGATTTGGAATAAAATGCATGATTTATTAAAATGCAAAGTTCTATAATAATATGGATTAAAATTAAAAAGTCCTCACTCCCTATATACTCCTAGTTTTTTAAAGAATGCAACAACTTCAGATACTGCTAATGAAGGAAGGTCAATGGGTTCAAGGTTTTTTCAGGAGGAGCTGGCCCATCCCTATGTTAGGACTGGCAAGTCTTTCCCATGTCATGTAGGAAGACCCCCAGACCAGGATGTGCAGCAGAGCTATCCCACCAAAGGCAATCTCCTCATCTGTCCAAACCTTTGTCAAATGCCCATTATGGGTAAGGCCCTGGATACAGGGAAATGAGAGCTCAGTCCTCCTCAAGGAGAGCCCCTCAGGAAGAGAGATTTATCTCATTTGATTAGCAACAGGCACTAAAGGTAACAGTAATTACAGATGCCTCCATGTGGGCTCAGGTAAAAGACACATCTGTAATATTCTTCTTATTAAAGTGGCAATCAGTGCAGGCTGCAAGGTGATAACATGAAAACAAATTCTGTCAAAGTGAGAGGGTACGCAGGAACTATACGTACTGAAAACCGCCATGTGCAAGGAACATCACATTTCCCCCATTCTGTTCCCATCATAATCATACAAGGAGTTGTGCTCCCATTTTCCTGGTAAGGAAAATAAGGCCAGGCTACAACCCGAATCTGTCTGACTTCAAAGCGCATGGTCTCTCCACCACACTGTGCTGCTACTGTGAAGACAAAAACTGTTCTTTTATTTACGTAGTTGCACACCCCACCCCACTCATTTGTCATCCGACTTTGGGGAACCCTGAATTTACTAGTGGATTTGCCTGACAGTGACACTGAGGGGCTGTCAGTGCCATGGGAAGCCCCTTTCACACACTGATGATCCTTTTAGTTCATGCCTCTGTCTGCTGCTAATAATTAAACAGACATTTCCCCATGTAAACGATGACAAGCCCACCATCCCCATTTCATTTAGCTGATTTCTTCCTTTAAAACTCTAACGTTTCACCAACTCCAGGACCCCTCCATATGCACCTCCTGAGCTCCCGCTGTGCTTCTCTGAACGAGGCATGTCTCCCATGCACTGTAAGACAGCTGTCCACCAGCCTCACTTCACCCCAGACAAGGTGAGCTCCATGGAACCTTGCACTTTCTGATTCTGCATCCCTGCACTGGGCAAACACCAGGCACTCCTTCAGCTGAAACTGAATGCATCCCAGACACCAAGTTCATTTGAACTTCCTGGGGTCAACAGCACTGGTGGCTGCTCATCTGATTTTACAAAGGTTCTTACCTCTTTTTCCAAATAAACTTTTTTATCATCCAGGGTATTATATAAAGTGAAGAACTGCTTGGTTTCTTTATGCACTGCTGAAACTGCAAATGCAAAAAAAATCAGCACATGAAAAAGAAAATGTATCAAAACAACCCTAAGCACCCACTCTTTTTAAGGCACCCCCTCAAGAGTGGGACCTGTCAGGCTGGCACTCTGGACCTGCAGGCTGGGAAGAAGCCCACAGAGCACACAAGCCTGTGCACGCGTGTCATAGGTTGGCCATCACTGGGATAGAGCATCGGCCTGCGGACTAAATGGCCCCAGGTTCGATTCCGGTCATGGGCATGTACCTTGGTTGTGGGCACACCCCCAGTAGGAGGTGTGCAGGAGGCAGCTGATCGATGTTTCTCTCTCATCGATGTTTCTAACTCTCTATGCCTCTCCCTTCCTCTCTGTAAGAAAAAAACACAATAAAATATATTTTAAAAAAATAGTTGAAGTTTGCCAGGACCTGTAGGACAGTGGCAACTGGGTCTGGGGACCAGCTCACTGGCCAAGACTCAGATATCCTCCTGAGAGGGGAGAGGCATGGAGGGACTGTAGGGGAAGCCAATCAGTGACTCTAGCCTGCATGATGGAGGACTTTATCAGGGCATTTAGGATTTTGAAGATTACCTAACACGTTATGGCGAATTATTAAATGCTAGAGCTATTAAAGCAAGAATGTAAATGATTAAATTTATGTTTGAGAAAGGTCTCCCAGGCAGGAGGGTAGAGAAGGGGTCAGACTCTAAGCAGTGATGAGAAGGTGGCTATAACATAAGTCCCTAAGGAATGGACTTGACCATGACTCAGAAATGGAACAGACAGCAGCATGATTCAGAGTGGACTAAGGGGGCCCCGCTTGGCTGAACAGTGACCCCAGTGACCAAGAGGAAAAACAGGACAGGGAGGCTATAGAGCGTGAGGTGTCCAGTGGGAGCCTAGGGAAGGGGCGATGGTCCAGGAGTCTTGAAGGATTTTGTCAGTCAGAGAAGGAAGGGTCTGAGCCAGGTGCAGGAGGAGTCGAGGCCTCAGGTGTCCAAACGCATGGTGTGTTCAGAGGCAGCTTGTGGACTGGTGAGGCCAACTGTGGACTTAGAGCAAGAAAGGGGTCCCCAGCAGTCACTTAGACTGGGGCGGACTCCCGTAAGAATAAGTAGAGGCTTTATTTAGAAGGTTCTGGGGAGCTCCTGAAGATTTTCCAGCAGAGGGGGAAGTGACAAAGTCAGATGTGTGGATGAGAGACTTGCAGAAGAGGCTGCAGACCAGCCAACGGTCATTCAGCTGAGCTGTGATGCAAGTGAGAACAGATATGGCGGTAGCACAGAAAGGCAATGACAGCTTTGAAGGCCACTCTGAGCCTGAGGAGATGTGGTCACTGATTCAGGACAAGGGAGATCTAGTCCTGGATTATGGGGTGAATATGATGCTGTAAAGGCAAGGACCACATAAGCCAGAAAGTCTGGAGGAGGAGGACAAGGAATGAGAACTGATCTAGAGATAATGAGGTCACGATGTTCTATGCAATGCTGGAAAGTGGATGGGGAGCTCAGTGGAGCCAGATGGCTGATTGAGATGAGGGCTGGTTCAAAACATTCTAAGAACTCAACTAGAGTAACTGTTCATGGAGAGGGCAGTAAGAGCACCTCAGTGCTGCTTCGGGACTTTCAGTTACCCACCGGGGCTCCGTGGAACCAGTGCTGAGTGGGCCTGACGATAAAACGGAGCCCTTTCCAGTGGCTGCTTTCATAGACTGTGCTATGGTGCATGCTCTACTGTCCTAAAGTGTGACACAGACCCTTGCCTCCTGTCCCTCCCAGGACCAGCCTCTCGAGCTCATCAGTGGTTGATGCACCTACTCTGGCGGTAGAGTTCAATAAATCTCTTCTGATACTGTATTAGCTCGGCTCGGCTGGGCACTTCATCAATCTTGCGATGCAGAATTGCTATTTCTCGATTTCTTCGAGCCTAAATGCAAAAGGGAGGGTGAGACAACACTATTTGATAAAAGGCCTGATGCGTTCTCTAGGGAGCCAAAATATTTTCTGCCACCCACCCTGAGCACAACCACATGTCCTGGAATGCAGGCCCCAAATTCTGCTGTTGGCTTGAGGTCTCCGTCTCAGATTCTGAGTTTGCAATACACGGAGAAGGTGCGACTGGAACCCCAGAAGGCATCAAATTAATGGATAAGGAAGGAGGATAAGTAATGGGATGGGCTGTGTGGCCAGAGCACCCAGCCAGCCTACTAGGCCCTAAAGGACTCTAGAGTCGCCAATCCCACCAGCACCAGGTGACAAGGAACTGATGCCTCCTTGCTGCCTCCATATAAATTCCAAATCCCTTTACCTGGGTGAAAAACTCCCACAACTGAAACCTAAAATACCTCTCCAGTATTTTCTCTCTATCATGGACTAGGGTATATTGGCCAAAGTGCCTCTCTGACTGCATCTGGGGAGACACAGCAGTGTGGTGTGGTGCAGGGAGCTCAGAGGCTCCTGAGGCAGGCAGCTCTAGCACCACCTTCCCCAGCAGGGCAGCTGCCTGGGGGAAGTCGCTCAGCTCCCCCTCCACGTAAGTGGGCTGCCTTTCCTCTGTGCCAACCTGTCCTCCACTCCCCAGGCCTGCTTCACTCACAACGGCAGAGGTGGATGTCCGTATCACTGGGGAAATATGAGCCTCCAAATAGAAGCCCACCAGCCACTCTGGTACGAGGAGAAGACATATTTCTCCTTTTGGCCAAGGCTAAATCCCCAATGGGTGCTCAGGCTCTGACTCCTGTTTTTATTTTAGGAATCTAAAGATGCACCTCACTCTTAAAAATAAAAAAAGCCCTGCCTGCCTGACTGGCATGGCTCAGTGGTTGAGGGCAATGCCCAGGTTGAGGGCTTGTTTCCCAAAGTGGGGCGTGCAGGAGGCAGCCGATCAATGATTCTCTCTCATCATTGATGTTTCTCTCTCTCTCTCTTTCCTCTCTGAGAATCAATAAAAATACATTAAATAAAATTTAAAAAGCCCTTCCTTAAACCCTAATCACATTTCAGCTGCCAGCCTTTCTCCTTTGAATAGCCAAACTTCTTGAGAGCCACATACTCTTTGTTCCTCTAACTCCCCACTTCCCTCCAGTCATCATTCACCCCACACTCCAGCTGGCTTCTTCAAAGACCCCCCCTGAAACTGTTCTTGCCAATGTCATCTTTTTTGCAATACAGCCAGCAGGCAATTCTCAGCTTCTAGCTTTCTTGACTTCTAGCAACACTTGCCATTCTCTCTACTGAGCTCTCTGCTTAGCTCCCATGAGACCTTGTGCTCATGTTTTCCTTGCCTTGGGCTGTCCACCTGGTCTGAACAGCTGCCTGGAAGAAGTCGCTCAGCGCCCCCCATTTCCAGTCTCAGGACTAAGTGGGCTCTTGCTTTATGACTCCTGCTTTCCCTTGGTCTCTTCTTAGAGGGCTTAGTCCCAAGGCCTCTTCTTGGCCTACATTTCACAGCCTCGATAACCACCTACAGTGCTGACACCTGACTTCCAGTCCAGACTATGCTGAGCATCAAACCCAACACCCATCACTTCTTGGACATTTCCATATAGTTGAATACCCCAATCTTTTAAAAGCCCCAAACAGATCTCACTTAACACTTAGTCACACTCCCACCCCCTTTAGCCCTATTCTTTCTCCTTTAATGCTTTTTCTCAATGAATAACACAGGTATCCACCCTACTGCCCAAGTCAGAAACCAGAGCACCATCCCTGACTCCTCTTATTCTCTCACCCGTCGATCAGTTCCATCGGATACAGCTCCCTAATCTCTCCCCTGTGGTTCATTTCTGTCCATCCTACCAATCCTGCCCTGCTTCAGGCCCTTATGATTTCATTGCAGCTTCCCTCTAGCCAGTCTGAAGCTATACAGTTTGCAATTTGCATATAAGCTCCCTTGTACTTCGATGTATGGACATATCTTGGTCCAGATCTTGGTCCTCAAAGAACCAGCCAGCTCCCAGAAAATGGGCCATCCCATTTTCTATTCCTGGGACACAATGCAACACTAAATATACAGTAATGACACAGTAAAAAAAATTCCAAATACACAGCTGTACTTGTCCTGATTTTAATTAATTCTGTGTCTCTTTAAAGATTAGTATAGTGCCCTTATATCAAGGACAAATTTGACTCAACTGAATTTAACCTAACAGTTCAGCAAATAAGAGCCAGAGATAGGAAAAACAGGTCCCACAGACCCCCATTGCCCGTTGGCCATTCCTGCCAGAACCTGCCTTCCCTTCCCAGAGAACAGAAAGAAGGCCCGGGCCAGAGTGCAACACAACGTGATCCTTGGATTCTGAGCTACCGTGAGCCAGGTCTTGGCAATGTAAGGGACTGTCCAATGTGATTCAGACTCTACGTGAATTTGGCTTCAGAGCCAACTTTAAAACCTACATCCCCCATATCTGATGTCCTCATAAACCTCCAAGTTACCAACTAAGACAGATAAGTGGACACTTAGTTTTAGAGGAAACTATTAGACAAGAACACAGGAACCTGAATGCTGGCTCTGGCACTTACCAGATGCTTGATCGTGGTCAAGTACTTAATAGATTTGAGTCAATTTCTTCACATAGAAAAGGAGGATAATACCCCCTCTCCACCCAGGGCGAGGGCCAAATCAAACAAGATGACCGTGAAAGTAACATACCCACATAAGGCCTTATTACCAACACCTTAAACCACTGAGTTACTCTCCAGAGAGGAAGGTAGCAAACAGCAGCCTAGTACTGAGTCTCTCTGGTTCTCAGAGACTGAAACTTTCAAGTTCTGCTACAGACGTTTGTACCTAGCTAGATGCATTTATATAATTCTGTACTCTTGTTTTTACTCACCTGTAGTAAACGGATCTTATAAAGTTTCTCTTTCTCCATATTATATCGTCTGTCTAGGTCTTCCTAAAAATTGAAAGAGGACAGTTATCTGGGAATAGAGAACTTTCATTCCTTGATGAAATCTTCTGAAGTTGAATGCTTTTTACCTTTTCTCCCCAATCCTGAGGCCCCAAATTTCTTTTCTCAAATGGCCAAGAGTCTGCATCCTATGTCATGTGAGGCCTTTGACACCCTTTAACATCCCTTTATAACAATTCTTCCTTCTTCTGGGATCCAGGCTGGAACCAGTGTTTTTTAGAGAAATATCTCCCAAATCCATGTGCCCTTCCCTTCCCCACACCAAAACCAAACTATGTGGAGGAGACGATCATGACTTGAAGAACCTCTTGTGTCTGGAGGTGATGCTGGTTTGCTTTTTATGTTTCTATTTGGAGCTGCACTGTTCAATATAATAGCCACTAGCCACATATGGTTATTTAAATTAACTGAAATAAAAAGTCAGTTTCTCAACTGCACTAGCCACATTTCAAGTGCTAGTAGCCACATGTAGCTAGTGGCTACTGTGTTGGACAGTGCAGATACAGAATATTCCCACCACTGTGGACAGTCCTTTTGGATAACAATGTATTAAGAGAGAAAGTAGCCAGTTCACTGAACCCAATGAGGTAAGAGACATTGCTAGGTGGTTTGCTGAGTTAGAGAAAGCTACAAGGGGGCTAGAAGTGTCCCCTACCCAATGCACTTGCACACACACACACACACAGAGAGAGAGAGAAAGAGAGAGAAAAAACACAGTCTCCTCCACAGGGCTCAGCTGTAGGCAAACCCCAAAGACTTCATAGTGGGGTCCTGGAGCTCATGCTCTAAGGGCACCAAGGGAAAAGAAACCCTAAAAGAGGAAAACGATTAGAGGCTTTCCTGCTTCTCTCTTCCTCCTCCTCTCCCTTTTCTCTTTCTCCTGAAGGTTTCCTGGGGTGCTGGAATCCTGGAAGCATTAGTTTAACTCAGCAGAGAGGTCAGCAAACTGCAGCCCAAGAGCCAAATCTGACAGCCCTTGGACCAAATCTGCCTCTGCCTATATCTGTAAGTAAAGCTCTATTGGAACACAGTCACATCCTTTGATTTACCTACTGACTATGACCACTACAGTGGAGTGGCGCACAAAGCTAAAAATATTTACTACCTGGCCCTTTATAGTTTGCTGACCCTGGAATGTAGTACAATAAAGAGAGGTGTTCTTCCCTCCCACCAACCCTCCCCCCAGAGCCTAGGGGTTGTGACCAGCTTGTATGGCCAATGCAGGCTTCCCCTTTCTCAACAGAGATGCCAGAGTAAAGACAGCACTCCTGCACAAGGTGCTAGGAGAAACCCTCCCTAGAATGGTGGCCTTGAAGGCCAGCCCTGGTGAGACCCTGCCTTCATCTGAGGGACCAGGTGTGCAAAATGGGTCAATGCTCGCAACATTCCAGATGAGGAGATGGCCGTAGAGAAAATGAAAGCAGGCGTGAGAAAGTGTCACAGGAGAGTGTAAAGCTGGCCACCTGCAGAGAACACTGGCAGTGCTGATAATGGGAAGGTACTTACATTATGAGTCATCATGGGGGTGAGGGCATCATTCGGCTCTCCACTGGAGAGGGTCTGAAATGGTAAACAGTAAGAAACAACTCACAGGAAGGCAAATGCGATAGAAGCTGAGGGTCTAGATGTAGGAAGGAGTGGTGTGGGGGACAGTTCACCGACCATGTCTGGTCAGGGAACAGAAAGGGAACAGCCCTATATGAGCCCCAGATTTTAAATTGTTCTTAAATGTCTGTCAGTTACAAATAAGCTAACCTTGTCTTTGAATGTAATAATCCTTCTAAGGAGATGCGATTGATGAGAAGAGAAACGGGATCCTAAAAGTCTGTGATGTATGCAAACTCAGAAGCTGACTGAGCTGACGATTTGAGCCTCAAAGTTCAAAATTTTAGTAACAACTGGAGAGGCGACCATGTGATGATGGTCCCAGGACACCACTGCCTGGCACAGCCACACTCTGCTATTCCCCCTTCTCACAGGTGGGGAGAGTAGTGTGGTCTGGCTGAAATGACATGCCAGGCAGGCGGCATGGCATCTCCCTGCTGATATGGCAGCGTCCCTCTCAGTCCCTAAGCAAAAGGCCGGAGAGCGCTTCTGCCAATTGGCTTGCACAAGTTTCTTCCCCTCCCTGAGCCCCAAGTTCCTTATTTTTATGAGGCAGATGGTGCAATTGATGAGTTCCGAGACCATGTCCAACTCTCACACCCAAGCACATGGGTGCTCAGGAAATAAGCCTTGAATCAATGTGAGAAGGGAAAACAAACACAGCAGTGCTTATACTGGTGAGAGACTTTTTTCTGTCCTTGTGCTATAATTTAATGCTTGATGGAAACCCACACTAGCTCCTCAAGAGACCTAGTCTTTGTTCAGAGAACCAGGCATGCCCGTCAGTGCAGGAAGCTTCTGCTGCCGGAGCTGATAGTGACCCAGCACTGCTCCCCTGCTTCTGCTCAGTGCTGCCTTCTAAGGGTGGGGCACGTCCCTAGTAGGAATGGAGGGTAACAGGAGTAAAGTGGTCCTAAATTTAGAGAAGAATTAGGTTGAGTGGGAAGCAGAGCTCAGGCAGCTCCTGAAAACACCCCTTCCCTGAAGGAGGAAGAGGAAGAATTATAATCTGGCCTTTCTCGTTTGGAGTAGCTGCAGTCCACACCCACTGCTGTCTTTCACCCACCAGAAGGAAGAGAAAGGAGAGGATAGAAATCTAAATAAATCATGTGATGAAACCAGCTGAGAAATGTGCGCTCAGAGGACCAGGTTAAGGAAAGGTGTCTTTCCAGCCAGTCCTTTCGCTGGTTAGTCCTCCATGAAACTTTTCAATCTGAGCATAACAGCGCCTCACAGTTCGAGGACTCCTGCAGGGCCTTTACCTTTACTTCTCCACCTGGAGCTCTCGCTGCTTTCAGGTTTTCAATTTCCTGCTGTAGCCGTGTCATTTCTTCCTTCAAAAAGGATACAAATGTCTATGAAACTTGGGCAAGCTAGAAACTGGATGCACTTTTTAACTTGACCCAGAGTCTTATTTTCATATTTTGTGAGTTTATGTTAAGACAAAAAGTCTATTAGGAACTAGCTGCCCTGATCTCCAACTTTCCGTCTGGGAAAGTTTTTTTCAGGAGGTTACACAGAGCTTGCAGGGCTGCACCTCCTGCCTCCTGCTGTGGTCATGAGCACTTGTGCAACCATCACCCCCAATACTAGACACCAAGTCCTGAGATGGCAGAAACAGGACTTATACACCTGACGAACAGATATCCCAGATTTTCAGGACATCCCTGCTTTTATATAATATTATTCCTTTATATTTGATAAGACTTTTCTTTTAAATACATTTATAAATTAGAAAATATTGTTTGTAAGACTGTTTGGCACACCCGGTGTCCTCGGAGGGTACCTACCACAGTACTCTATTCATCTTACACAGCTGTTGAGGAATTTCCTTCTTTCTTTTTTTTGTTGTTGTTGTTAATCCTTACCCAAGGATATTTTCCCACTGGTTTTTATAGAGTAGAAGAGAGGGGGAGAGCAACATCATCAATGTGAGAGACACAGTGATTGGTTGCCTCCTGCACATGCCCTGTCTGGGGCCGGGGAACGAGCCTGCAACCAAGGTACGTGTCCTTGACCGGAATCGAACCCATGACCCTTTAGTCCAAGGGCCAAAGCTCTGAGGAGCCAAACACCAAACCGGCTAGGACAGGAATCTCCTTTTCTGACTACACCTGGATAGGATGCCACATCAGGACCAGGGGAGGGAAAGCAAGAGATTTTACAAGATTCCTGGCTTAATGTCTGCTGGCACCAAGCAACACTTACTCGACAATGTGCTTTAAACTCCTGTTCCTGGCTTTTCAGGTTTTCATTCATGGCTACAAGTGCTCTCAAGTTCTGCAGAATACTGAAAAGACAAAAAAATGACATATGGCAAGCTATTATGATTTTATGAATCACAGCTAAAACCAAGTCCCCAGATTAAAAAGGATTCCCTTTTAATTTCCTCTGTCTCTCCCAAGTGTCTAATGGGTTCTCCACAAGTGATTAAGACTGGCATTATTATTCATTTATATGCCAGACTCCATTAGCTACATCCAAACAAACATTACAGAAACCAGAATTAAAATGTCAACTGCAGAAACATCAACAAATTTCAAAATACTGGATATACTTAACAATACCAATTACTCAATCATATTCAAAGCATAGACAGTATGGAAAACCATTTTTAATATCCATTCTGAAAAGGAAACATGTTGCTTAAGGTCATTAAACACACTAATTTGAATATAAGAATGTCAAGTATCTAATAGTACTTTTGCTCCATATCATGACAGAGGGCTTTCTAATTATAAAGCCAAGTAAGCTGTGGGCACTTCCTTGCTAAAATGTCCATCGAACCCAGAACCGCTCAATCTGGGCCTGAAGCTTAATGATTTAACTATCTTATTCAAGTGAGTGACAGACACTTCGGAGATTTCACCACCCAAACAGCTTGGTGACATCAAATGTAAGTGCTTTATCTGTATAATTTAAATAGTCCAAAGACAATTAATTTAAAATGAAAAAAAAAACAAACCACACAAAAAAACCAGAGGCTGATTTTTGGCAGAAAAAATTGCATCTTTACTCCCAAGGAGACACGGCTAAAGTGAGTGCTGTTAAAAACTGGTAACAGTGGTTGACTCCTGGGTGTCTGGGGGATGGGGTGGGAGAGATAGACTTTTCACCTATGCCTTTGTGTACTGTGAATGTATTACTTAGTTTTTAAAAACAGAAAGATGAAAAAATAATTAAAACTCCAAACATATTGCTTCTGATCCCCAGGGCAATTGGGAGGAACAGGCAGCCCAAGCACATCTCAGCATGTGCCTGAGCGACAGGCACAATCTGGATAGCACATGAGATGAACTGACCTGTACAAGGACAAAAGCATGACCCCTGCTCCTCAGTCCTGTAAGCCAACCAATTAAGCCACCAGGTACTGGCAAAGTCCCTTTCTTCAGAGAAAAGAAACACATGCTGAAACCTCTTACCTTGGATCCGCTTTGGATTCTATCTTCTCGAGGGCTGCCTGCTCCTTGTCCAGTTTCTCATTATGACTCTTCAACTGCAAGAGAGAATGGAGGCCTTGTTGCTAGAGATTTGGTAACACAGAAGAGGGAGCGCTGCCATTCTCCTTCCCCTTGGTTCCACCTGAACTCCACTTCTGACAGGTGGCTGAGCCCACAGGATTTAGCTGTACATTGAGAAAACAGGTGAAGAAAAATAGGATGGGGGTGGAGGGAAAACATGGGAAGGTCAAAACCAAACCCTTCTTGACACATACTGCTGGTTAACAAAACCTTGGCAACAACTTTCAATCAAGAAGCAAATGGGTAAAAAGTCAAAAGTAATGTTGACAGCAGGTGCCTTTCAGTAGGAAGGGAGAATAAAAGGAGTGGCTGTGAAAGACAGACCTGGGTTTAAATTTCAGAATGTTAACATCATGGCTATTAAGAGGGTACAGGATTAAATCTCCTGTCTTCTTGAATAATTTCACCTCCATTTTGAGTCAGATTGTGAGGTTTTTAAAAAAGAAAATTTGAAAAATAAAGTATAAATTAAAGTGTACAACTATATTATATAATAGAATACAACATGCTACTAAAAATGATGCAGTTTTTATGATGATCTCTAATATCTACTATTATGTGAAGAAAACAAGGTACAAAACCATAAGTACAATATGATTCCAATTAGTATAAAGAATGTATACATTAAATGTATACGTGTATAAAAGAATGTGCAGGTTACTTATATATGCATACATTACTTCCAGAAAGATTCATAAGAAGCTGGTCACACTATCGTCACCTCTGGAGAAGGTAATTATGTGGCTGAGTTCCTGGAGTGCACCCTTTGTATCTTTTGAATTTTGAACCATGTGAATGTGTTACCTATTCAAAAGAACAACTTAAAAAAAAGTTCCAAGGACTCTAGTTGAAAATGAAGGACCAAGTACAAGTTGCAGCAACCCCTTCTTGCCTCAGGTCCTAAAAATCTAGACTATTATGTTGGAACAAGGGACAAGAAAAATGGCCAAGAGACAGAGATGGACTGAGGAGGCCTACTTTGTGGAATAGCAGATGCAGAAGGACTGATATGCATCAAGAACAGCCAGCTGGGTCAAGCAACATGGCCCTCAACCATGAGCTAATTCAAGAGCTGGTGCTTGAGTCACAGAGACAGGGCAAGGCCCCAGAGTCGACAATAGCCAGGAGAAAGGGTGAGTTCTCCAACCCCGAATATTAGTTACCACTGGCTGATCCCACCGAAGAGTAGGACCCACCCATCCAGAATAATCACATGAAGCAAGCTGCATAAAATAGATACAGAATCCACACGATCCGTAAAAAGAAATTTGATAATCAAAGATAGGCATATCATAAAAAATTATCAAACATCTGAAGAAAGATAATGCCATAAAAAGATGTATCAACTCAACATGAATTCTGATCTGAAGAAATAGTTTATAAGAAAAACTTCAGACAATTGATGTCCTTAGAGAGACAGGACAGGATACTGCCCGTATTAGAAAGGTTCAAGCTCACACATAGGAAATTACAGTTGTGATTACTGAAATTAAAAAGTGGACAGGCTAGAACCTGGCAGCCAATGCAGGGGCCAGCCAGTCTCGGGTCTTCTTACAACTGTGTGCAGCCTCCCCCACAAATTTTATTTTATTTTTCTTTAAAAAATATATATTTTTTTAATGTATTTTATTGATTTTTTACAGAGAGGAAAGGAGAGAGATAGAGAGTCAGAAACATCGATGAGAGAGAAACATCGATCAGCTGCCTCCTGCACACCCTCAACTGGGGATGTGCTCACAACCCAGGTACATGCCCTTGACCGGAATCGAACCTGGGACCTTTCAGTCCGCAAGCCGACGCTCTATCCACTGAGCCAAACCGGTTTCGGCAGAACTTTCATTTTTAAGAAAGA